CTGTTCTCTGCCAGCTACTGTGTGCTTACTTCCAGGCTGACAGAGGAAGAATCTCAAAACACGACCATATGCTTAAACCTTGTCCTGTGAACCCAAAACAGGATGTCACAGCGGGCCCTCCGGTCACCGCGACACACAGGAGGGCTATTGTTGTGTCCCGCTTGGGGAAAGACAGAAGGGAAGCGTCATCTGAGGGAAGAAAGAAACAATATGTGCATGTTTTATTAAACGTAGTTTGTGTTGCCATGCGGAGCTTTCAAGCTTGCAAAGTTTGGTCTATGTAAGACAACGCAGAGTGTTGTACTTTGCGCAACTAAAACACAATCCTGAGAAAAACAATCATGTTTTTGTTCTTTTATGAAATTCCTTTTAAATATGTCTGCTTTAAGGGATGGTCTTATCATTTTTCAAAAGTTATTCTGTTAGGCATCACAGGTTAGCATCTTATCAACTGTGAGCATGGCGTATGGAGAAAAGTCCTCGACCTGGCTAAGCTAATGGCTAGCCAAACGAGGGCAAAGACCTTTACATGCAGATGGTGCTGCGGCTGCAAATCTCAGTCCACCTGATCAGCACATCTCCTGTAGTCAGACCAACTCCTTTTACCCAACTCCTGTCAAACTGGCACCATCAGGGGTCTCGTTTCTTCAGTAAATGCATTTCACTTGTTGTCATTTGCAAAGATTTTAAAAACAGAGTCGTTGGCGCTCAGAGGACGTGTTGGGGGTAACTCTCAGCTAGTACCTCACCAAAATTTAGCTCAGCAGCAGTAAAGCTGACAGAGCTTTAGCCAATCTTATGTTTGATAATGTTGATTGATCATTAGCCTGTAGTTATCGTCATCGTTTGAACCGATCAGCCATGATACGTACATTTGTGTGTGTGCTTTTGTTTTTTTATTTCAAAATTCACTATTGTTATTTGACCACTTTTATGAGCTCGTATTTATTTGTTGTAAATATAATCTGAGTGTAAAATGAAGTGTCCTTCTTCGGTTCAGTCCATCACAGCATGCTTCCTATTTAGAGATGTGACATTCACAAAGGATTCAAATCTTTTGAACAACTCTTTACAACAAACTATAGGAATGGAGCTGCAAACAGTTGAGAGCTGTTACTAGTTTTGTTTTTTCTTTGTTGTAATTCATTTGTATTCCTCCTCAAATGCAGAGACAAACGTTCCTCCTTTTCACTTTTCCACTAAGACGAAGGAGAACAGGCAACATGGGATGAGTGCAGAAGCTGTAGATGGGGTGGGAGGATCCCACCTGACAAGACACCTGGTATGGCCCTAACGTCATAGTAGCACATGATGATGTCACTACCATCATAAGTGAATGGCTCAAGCAAACAGATCTTCGAAATCCAGTTCCCTCCAATGTGTCATTTATAGCATCTCATCTCTACTTTGTGCTATGCAGGATTTAAAAATTGATTTCATGAAACAGACTTTTGGTTCACGAGTCTAAAATCATTTTATTGGGTCTGTCTGGTTTTTTTACAGCCCAGTTCAACATGCAGTCATGCTATGGGAGTTCAGGCATTAGGAGACATCAGACATTTCAGGATGGGTCACCCGGGTGCCTCTAGTTTCTACTCTACGCTCATCTGAACTACTAAGACATTTTATAAAACAGATGCAAAAATACAAACGTAACATTTAAATAAAAAAAAAACAACAGCTCAAAGAGTGATATTATGTTTTGCTGCTGAGTTTCAGTTTAAAAAAAGCATCAGATTGTTTTTCTTCATATTTCTATCCGTTTTGACCTGGAATGTCTGAAAATGGATACTGACTCTGAGAGGAGACGGGAGTCAGGAGGAGGCTGCAGACGGGGAGGAGACACCCAGACACATCATCAGGCCAAACAGAGGAATCCCTGTCTACAAACCTGTTGAATCGCCCCTGAAGCCTGCTATGCAGGGAATGCTAAAAGGATTATCGCCTAGCCACTCGAGACGATCTGAAAAATGAGATTTGATGAGGTGATGGGCGGCATTCTAAGGAAAGACAAGAAAAATGTACCACTGTGCTCATTTAGTTTCAATGTGCACATTTCAACATAAACCAAAACCATTAAAACAATAAAAAATACACTTACACAGACACTTTAGTTGCTTTTATTTGCTCTTTGGAATAAAAATTAAATCTCTCATATGCATCGGATTAAAAAATAAGGTAAAAAATAAAATACACAAGGAATTTGTAAATGTAACCAAAGAGTTTTCCACAGGAAAGAAAACTAAAAAAAAAGGTCCAGAGTGAAGCTGGGTCAGAAGTGTGTCATGCCCATGATAAATACAGAACATCAAAGCTGAGAGTGTGTTAATTTATGATGCGTATAAATATACTGTGCCTGAATTTGGAGGCGCTCAGCCCTAAAGGCCTCGGTCTAACCCCACATACCTCAGCTCTGTGCAGATTTCAGAGGCATCCTCAGGGCCGAGCGATGGAAATGACCTTTCACGGAGATAAAATGTGAAAAATGGGTGAAGTGAGGTAGGATTTGTGGTTATCGGTGAGAGGAGGGCAGATTCAGTGTGCCCTGTGTGTTTTGATGAACCATCTGCAGAGGTTAAACATCTGTAATCCTGCAGGTGATGAGGGCGACTCCCTAAAACGTTTTGCAGATTAAGCTTTTTGGTATTTCATGTTTTCTTTTTGGTCATGAGTGAGAATTCTGTTCAAAGTTTGTGTCCTGCACTCACAGAATTAACCTTCACAGCAGCTATGTGAAAATGTAACTATTGTAAGCACTGACTTTCACCAGCAGATACTTAAATAATAATAATAAAAGCACGGTTTACTCTTAACTATCCAGGATGCAGATGTTTCTCTGAATCCATCTCAGAGTTACACGCCAAGTGAGATGAATCGTTGGAAGTTATTTTTCCCCCCACTCATTTCCTCTTTCTGTCCAGTTCAGTGCATTAACAAGCCCCTAGGAGCGTCCCACGTGTTTGCTCCAACGCCTGCATTTAAAGAGTAAAAAAAAAAAAAGAAAAGACAGAAACGCTCAAACTAAACCGGGACAGATTCAAACGAGGTACTCGTGGTTCATTTCGCGCTCACACTGTCCCCGTTTACAAAGATCGTAGCTTAGTGCTTTTTCATTAATTGGTCATAAAAAGGGGAGCGTTAGTGTCAAGAATACCAACCTGTATGCATAACAAAATACACCTACGCGCTTCGTGTAACATTAGAGGGGCTTATTCAGTTCAGAATCCAGTTCTGTCAAAAAATGCACATAGGCTAACAACTATGGGGCGGTACGTTCATTGTGCACACTCACAAACACGACTGCTCCATCTCACAGCGAGAACAGTCTGTACAACACGTCCATAGGATCTATAAATACAACATATCAATTTGACAAGATAAGCAGTGGTTGTTCTTTAATCTGAAGAAGAAACTTCTTTGGAGTGACGGGACTAAAGGTGACTGTGTGCCATGGAATGCTAATGAGATTAATTAAAAACATAGATAGCAAAAAATGGTGGCCAAGAGTTCCTCAGAAATTATTTGCACTGCTGCAAAACAAAAGTACACTGCGAAAGATGCGAAATACAAAAATCAGCAAGTAAGATGCATGTAATCTTAAAGTGCATATTCCTTTGCAGTGCATTACTGTATTCTGAGCTACAGTACATCATAATAGAATAAAAGTAGAGTTTATTTAGGTATTTTTGCAAAAAAATGATTCTTTTTTATTTTCTAGTACAGTGTGATGATATTTTTCTCTTTTTTTGACTTAAATCTAACATGCTATCAGTTTCCCGAACACTTATGGTAACCATGAGAGCTGAGCCTGTCAGTTATCTACTAGTTTTGCTCACGGCTGTTATTTTACATGCGAGAGATGTACGTACGTAATGTAGATGTAATATCTGTGAAAATCTCATGCTAATTTAAAGCAACTTCTTATTGTTACTAAGAACATCGGGTAAAATTCTGTAATAATTTGGTCACTTGTCTTTAAAAATATTGCAGCACATTTAAACTGTAACGTTTGTAAACCTGGAAGTAGGGCTGGACAATAATTCAATATCGATACAAATCACGATATACTTTTATTCAATAACGGTGATATGAGTTTTAAACACATTTTTGATATTGCGATATATATTACGCTATGATTACAGCGTTTCACTGATGCATTTTCGTTTCAACCCGAACAGAAAAAGCCGCGACACAACTACGTAAGTGCGTGGTGACGTACACCACACACACAGCTCGAGTCCAGAAGGAGTCAGCGGTAGCAGCTAGGCTAGGCTAAGCTCCAACGCGCGGTAAGTTTTCGCTTCAAAATGAGTGCCCATGACCATCAGAGTGTGACTGAACAAGTTTTCACAAGCGAAGAGAAAGCAGATGACATAATTGATAAAAGAGGAAAGACTAATTTGACGGTGTGGAAGTGGTTTGGCTATTTAAGCTCCGATAAACTGCAGGTTTCAGTCAGTGTGCTGCAAAATGTGCCGGAGAGTCGTTCCAACTAGCGGTGGGAACAAATCTAACTTGTTCCACTCAATAGAATATGCTGAGAGTCAGACGACGAAGCACAATAAAAGTTTGAGCCACCATGTCCCTGAAACAACACCCCCAGCATGGGTTAGGTTTTGCTGTTGTTTAAGGTTAAAACTATTAATATTGACAAAGTGGGGCAAGACGAGAGTTTTATGTTTATTTGACGGTGATTTCAAATTTCTTTGAAGGCTAAATACAAATCAAAGGTGAACATTAAATTATTTGTACAGTTTGTACAGTTTTTCTGAGGCTTTTATATTGTTTATATTGATATCTGAATTATATCATTATCGACCGAAATTAAGAAATAGACCATGATAAAAGTTTTGGCCATATTGTCCAGCCCTACCTGGAAGTGACATATTTTGAGTTCACAGAATAGTTTTGTCTTCTGTTAACCATCCATGGGTCTACAGTTAAAAGACCTCAGCAGACACTGCATAGCACTCCATGGCACGTATATCTGCACCCCAGGACTAAACTGTTGACTCTTTTGGTCCCTCCTGAGCAGCATTTTTACACCCATAAAGCCACTTGATGACTCGAGCGTTTCTCTCGATGATTGACACACCGGTGGGAAGCTGCTCGGCCAGTTCGTCCTGAAACAGTCCATCTCCTGAGTGGCGGGAGAACTCACTGGGTTCTGACCCACCACAACTGTCTGTGCCCACGCTGCGGAGAGCCAGTGAGAGTGTGTCTATAGAACTGGCACCAAAGAGGAAATTCTCCCGACCCAGACGGTCGATCAAGTCTATGTCCAGCCCGCAAAAGTCAAAGAAATGCTCCTGTTCTGATAATGCTACTGAGGAGCGCAGCTGTAAGTCTGACTTGGAGCGCTGCAACTCCCCAAACTGCCGTCTTGTTGGCGGCGGGGACGCTCGCTTCCACGGGTCATCGTTGTTCTTGACATCGGTGATACCAGCGCTTACTCCATCTACGGTGCCATTTGTAAACCCGTTGTTTGTGTGTTCAACAGTGCAGCTAAAACCTGGACTTTGAATAGACTCTGGGCTTCGCTCTTGGTCAGTTTTACTAGACCTCCTACTCATTGGTCCCCCATCTGTTGCATCTTTGTCATTGGTCCAAGACATACGCGAGTCTCCATCCCGCGACGTTGCTTTCTCTTCCCCAATCACCATCTTCTGGATTCGGCTCTCACCTCCGTTTCCTTTCTCCCTCATGGATCCTTGGAAGAGCCGGCGAACAAAACTGTAGCCCTTTATCTCCATGTTGTCGTTTTCTCCCACGGTAGCACTGTTGGGGTTTTTGCACTCTTTCTTTTGTCTGTAGATGACAAGGGAGTCTGGCCTCAGCATACGTTTGCCTGTACTCCTTCTGAGAACAGGGGCGCTGTGTGGTGCTACCAGACCAATAACCCGAGGTGTCCTGGGGCTGGGAGTCGTCAAGTTGTTCACGTTGCTCCTGTTATGAGCCTCAACATCAACAGAGGTCCGTCTGTTCTCCTTTCTTGCGTCATCATTTTCATTTTCATCCTTTGAGGTGAAGGAGCCAGAGAGTGTCGAGAAGGGGGTGTAGGATGAACGGCGCAGGGGAAGATGAGGAGTCAGGCTACCGGGGACGGAAATTGCTCGTCGTGGCTGCGGTGGCGGTGTGGCACAGGGTGCCAGCACTGGTTCTTGCTTGGTATTGATTACTTGTTGAGTCTTCACATACTTGGCTTTATCAGCCTCTAGTCTCTCCACAGCGCTGACAAAGCGGCCATGGCCTCCTCCATCTATCTGCCTGCGCAGGTAGTCTGGACCCTTGTTAAGGAGCCTCAAAGGAGAGGGGGACCCAATCGGTGACAAAGGTTTCATGTTACTTCACTGAGCTGCGAACAACATCAAAACTCCAAGCCCTAGACCAAGTTTTAGCTTCCGGTGTCCCACAGAGAGCTGCTGTGGGCTTTGGAGAAATTTCTAGGAATGGAGCTGTGCTTTCATTCCTCTCCTCACAGCTCCTAAATCTTTTTGAGAGGTAATGGAGAAGTGGCAATTCACGGGGCCACAAAGTTAAAGTTTGTTGGATGTTTTCTAAAGATAGCTCAGTCTCTTTGTTGGGCCCAGACAAATTGATATCTTCTCCAGTCTTTAAACAGGCAGTGAAGAGGGAAGTCCTTTTTCCAGCTCTCCCAAATAAGATGCTCCCTGACCACAGAGCAGCAGAAATAGCAGGCGGGGTGCACTTTGAAAGGGTGACGGCTTCTCACCCCACTTTTTTCTCTCTTTCCTCTGTCTCCTAGCACCCTTCACTGTTGGTCTTTTTGGAGATGCCTGGAGAAATTAGATAAAACAGCCTCAAATATTTGTTTAGGGCCGGCCTTCCAGGGGACACCAGGTTGAGACTTTTAATGTTTGGCACTCGTCTCGGTCGAGTTGACCTAAGGGTGGCCGGCACCAAGGCACTCGGTCTGTTGATGGACAGACAGCAAAGAAGCAGGTCGCGTCTTCGTCCTCACCTCAGCTAAGCAGACTCCTGGGAGAAATGGAGAGAGATAAAAAAGTGGTTTTAGTCAGATGTTCTGCTCTCCAGGGCGAGCAGCAGAAAGCAGATGGCAGGAAAAGGAGCAATCCTAAAGCTCAGCTCAGGCTGTGTTTATTTAAAGCCAGAGGGAGCTGCAGGAGTAGCAGAAATGTAAAGTCGACATGTTTTAGGATTTAATTACCATCAGGATTATACAAATTAAATAAATGAGAACAAAAGTCTCAATAAATACTGTTGTCCAGAAAAGATGATGGCATGTCTGCTTACTTCTGTTTTCTGCACATGAAAACGACCAAACTATTTATTTATTTAAAGTCTCTGGGGCCATTTGTTTCAGCTTTTCCACGGCACTAAAAACATCCTGTTTCACTTATCAAAGCAAAATGTGGCAAGCAGATTATTATAGAATTTTAATGGGGAATTTTATACTTCTTTTTGTTTCGGCTTTAAGAGGTAAACAAACTATTTCAGCATCAACTGGAGCTGAAAAGCAAAAATAAAAAAAGTTTGAGAAATGAACATTTTCAACAAAACAGGGAAGCTATGCTTAAAACATTTTCTTTGCAAAATGAACTAATGCACTTTAAAAGTAACAACTTTCACAGTCAGAGCTCCTCGGATTAACAATCTTTTTAAAAAGTTACAGCAGCTGTAAGAAAGGCCGCCACGTTTCTCAAAGAGACAGGCTTCATCTTTAACGTTTTCATGCTTATGAGGAATGAAAGGGGTAAAAAGGGGCTGCACGTGCTTATAACACACTAAAGCTCTGCACAGGGAGTATTTTTAGCCAGAACACCCTGCAGCACAGTTATCATGTATCTATGTACATGTGCATGCATGAGTCTATGAGCATATGTGTCAGCACCAAGCAGTGAGAAGCTGCCATGAAAATAACAGAGGAGTATTTGCATTTGTGAAGCAGGATATTAAGCTTGTCTTTGTTATTCTGTGTTTAAAGTAGTGTACAGACCATTCCATTGTTGTTGATTGAATGCACCTGTGGTTCATGATAATTATCTGAGTTGTACCGTATTTTCTGCCGTACATGTCGCACTGCACTATAAGTCACATCAGTCCAAAATGTATAATAAAGTGGAAAAATCCATAAATACGTCACTTCATCATATAAGTTGCATCTATTATGCATCAACGCTAATGCATCGCATTTGTTACGCTTTACCGCTGACAACCCAGAAATGTGGGTCGGTCAATTGGCTGCCAAATGGCGGCTGCGGAAGCGTGCACGGGAGGACTTTAAGAAGAATTTAACAACATTAACACTTAAAAACAATTATTTGCTCGAAATTATAGCAAAGGTGTGTCTCAGTCTAACTTTTCTGAAATAAATGCACTTTGACGGTCACATCAGCTGTATTTCAAAAGCCGATAAGCGAAAGTTGGAGCGTGCCTGGGAGGACTCACTGTCTTTTTCTTCACAATTTAACAAGATAAGCGCCTCAAAACAATTATTTGTTAGCTCGACTTTATAGCACAAGTGTGTCTCAGTTGAACTTTTACTTAATAAATGCACTTCAAAGGTCCAATTAGCTGCATTTCGCCGGGGCAGCGCAGCAAAATGAAGCTGATTTGACGGTTGCTCCAGGCGAGCTAGACAAAGGTGGCAACTAAGGCAAGCTGATTGTGTCATTAATAGCCACCTTAATCTATTACATGACAAAACAGCATGTCCTACTACTCGATTGCCATCTAGCAGCTGAAAATGAGTGTTCAATATTTTCAGTCAGAATGAATGCATATGCTCATATCTCAGCCAAAAAATTGGTTTATAAATATGGGAAAAATCCATAATTAAGTCGCTTCGGCGTATAAGTCGCAGGGCATGCAAATTATGCAAAAAAATTCGACTTATAGGCCAAAAAATATGGTATATATTTCGAGTTGTGTTTAGGGCCGATGCGTAGCCCAGAGGCATATAGCTTTTTGACTGCATTGCACGCATCGCACATGCTGAATGTTAGAAATAAATATGGTAAATGGAGATAAATAAACTTAAAGATACTAAAGAAAGCGAGTCTGGGACTCTGTCAATGGTGAGTCAAAACCCTCTAATGGCTGCACCATTGATTCACAGGGAATCCCTACAAGTAGGTTTTCAAACATCTCAGTTTTTCTCATAAATATGCGAAGAAAACATCCTAGTTTAGACATTTCCACCTTTTAAAACTCATAATTAAATGTGTTTTAAATGTAAAACAGGACATTATATTTCAGAGTAGTTTCTGAATCTGCTCTGAGATTTTTTTTTTTAAACTGTTATTTTTGTTTACTGCTGTGTATTATCTATCAGAGTGGTCTTAATAACGGTGCACATCAGTACCGATGTACGTTTTATTGGTCAGTCAATCAGTTAAGCTACTGTGTAAGACAGCATCTCACTGCTGAGCTTTGTCCTTTGAGGACTAATTGGAGACAGAATTTGCGAGAAAATACGCAAATTTTCAATTGAAATCAAACTGAATGAACTCTTGGCTAAATTTCGGCCTGTTTGGAATGGGTTGAGGACGTTTGAAACAACTCTGTGACTACCGGTACTTTGAGAATGAATACGTCACATAAATGATTTTAAATGTTTGAAATTCCTGCAACACACAAAAGGGGCTCCTGTGATCATTTTCAAATGTTTTTAAAACTCACCCACAAATGCTGTTTGCACTTTGTCATCAACAGTCGCAGTACAGAGCGATTCTAGCTTTACTGTTTTAATATTCATGACATGAAAGCTGTGCAGAAACGATGAGCACATGTTTTTAAATTTATTTATTTTGTAATCATTGGTCTCATGCTCATTATCCTAACTATGAACAAGGTCGCATTCACTTACTAGACTTTTTGTTTTTTGTGACCCACATTTGTGCAAATACACTTAACTTGTACTCTTTATAATATGGAAAACAAAACACAACAAACTTTAAAAAATCTAAAAGGAAACAGAGTGATGCTGTGTTTGTCCGTAGAGGTCTCGAGTTGGTTCGAAGTTTTTTAATTTCTTGAGATCCTTTTTTTAATGAGCTCATGGAGATAAACAAGAAAACAAAGTGTGTTTCATATTTAACTGGGGTTTATTTTCTATTATCATTGGCACCCTTGATGATCTTTAATCTGCCACACTGCCATGTTTGTTCTTGTACCTTACGGCTTTGACTAAATTTTAAGGTGCTCCTGAAACTTCAGAAGAAAAGCTAATGTTTCACCACGATCAACTTCATTCAGTCTCCATACCTCTAACAGAGCCTGTCACAGGGCATGCCACTATAAATTACCTGAGGAATGGGGGCCCTGGCATGCTGGTTAGTTTTTCCAGATGTTGGAGCTCAGAAAAGTCAAGCGTTGTTTAGGTGAAGTTCCGGGAAACGAAAATGTCTTACAACAGGTGTGGAAGGAGGAAAGAAAGACTTGGCATAAGGGGAAAAAATGGATGAAAAATGAGGAGGAAGTGGGACTTGGTTGCAGTGGGTAGCTAGGGTGGTAATCGTCAAAGTTCATGCTCAATAATCCAAGAAGAAAATCCAACAAAGTTCAGTCAGGTCATCTGGACATTTCTTTTGTTGTTGTTGTTGAGATGTTTCGTCCTTCATCCAAAGGACTTCATCCGTCCAAGAAGTCACAACAAACTGAGTCCCACAAGCAGCAAACCCACATAGTGGACCAACCAGTTTGCTGGTGATAAGATGGTTTCTGGGGTCTGCCCTCTCCCCCGTCGAATCCTCTAAGGCAGCCGTAGACAAAGCACTTTGCCATGAGGCAATCAGTGGGTTTTCTGCTTGTGGGACTCAGATTGTTGTGGCTCCTCGGACTGATGAAGTCCTTTGGATAAAAGACGAAACGTCTCAACAAATAAAAAGAAACCATCCAGATGACCTGACTGAACTTTGTTGGATTTTCTACCTGGATTATTGAGCATGGACTTTGATGTTTTGAACCACTTTGGCTACGGCTGCCTCTGAGGAGTCGACAGGGGAGAGGATGGGCCCCAGAAACCATCTTATCACCAGCAAACTGGTTGGTCCACTATGTGGTTTGCTGCTTGTGGGACTCAGTTTATTGTGGCTCCATCCTCAGACTGATGAAGTCCTTTGGATGAAGGATGAAACGTCTCCAAAAAAAAAAAAAAACCTGTCCAGATGACAGATTAATGAGATATCCTTGATACAAAAAAATTGGGCTCCTGGTCTGACATGAGAATTAAAAAAGGAAAAAAGCTAATGAAATGCTGAAGAAAATTAAATAAATGAACTAATCCTGATGAAGATCATAGCTTTGAAACCCAGAAACTAAGAAAAATACGAGTGTTTGCCCTACTTTCAGCGCTTTCCCCCAGCTCAACTGATGTGCAATCATCGAATCAGACATTAATGGCTTGAAGGAAAT